AACGCTCGGGCCCCCGCCGCGGCTCGCGTCCGCCCGCTGCTCCCGGGAGATCCGAGGGGAAGGAAGGAAGGGAGGGGGAGGGGCCGCGAGCGTGGGAGAGGCGCCGCTGGGGGCGTCGGCCCGGCTCCGGCCCCGGCCCGCTCACGCGCCCGGCCCGAGGCCCGGAATGCCGCGCCGCCGCCTCGCTCGCCTCCAGGCCCTGCCCGAGGGGCGGCGCGCGCCGGCTGGGGCCGACAGCACGGTGCAGGCCAGTCCCTCCCGGAGTCTGGCCCTAGCGGGAAATAACGCAGCCAGGCTCCCCCGCAGCCGGCCGGCCCGGCCCACCCGCGAGCATCCGCCCCCGGGCCCAACCGCACCGCCTGCCCGGCCTGCTTTCAGGGCTGGAGGGGGCTTCTTGCTCCCCGAGGGCTGCCAAACCCCGGAAGGAGAGAGGTGGGAGAGGAGGCTCTGCAGCGCGAGAAGATCGACCCCTCCAGGGTCCTAGGCGGCCCCGCCCGCCTGACAGCCTCAACCCCGCTCCGCGCGCTGATGGGCGCAGCCGCGGCGCGCGCTCCTCCGCCTGGGAAACGGAACCGCGCAGGTCAAAAAAACTACAAAGGAAGGAGATTCAAGGGCAGGGATCACATCCCTTAGCCAGCCTCCAAATGAGGAGCCTAGGCTAAACTAGGGCAGGAACCTGAAACATGGCATTGAATTGGAGCACACTATCTATTTTTTAAAAGGAAATCTGGAGCTTTATTTAAAAATCCTCTGATAAAACAATTTCCGTTGCAGATTCGCTAACATGGTACGTTCAGTAACTTTGAATGAGTGTATGATCGGAAGTTATTGTTTTTTGAGGAATTTACTTAATTAACAAATATTTATTAAAGCATGCAATGTGCCAGGCATTGTCTCCGTCGCTGGGGATGCATTCGTAAACAGAAAATCCCTGCACCCCATCCCCCTTACATTCAAGTGATGTTTATTGTTGTCAGTTTGAGCTTCTCATTAAGTAATAGGTCTAACATTTGTAAGCACCCATCATACTCGAAGTCTTAATTCAGTAGTGCCTGGTCAACAGTAAAAGCATATTCCCCAAAGGCTTGTGAGAAATATTAGTTACTTCCCTTTTACCATTAGGAAAAGATGAAACTAAAAGAAGTTTGGTCCAAGTTACCCTGAAACCTTAGGTTATTCACCACCTGTTCTCTGAGTGGCCCTAGACAGCAAATCCAAACCGACCTGTAAGGTAAGAACATGGATGCTTTTCTTGGAATGAACTAAGTCCTGGAAGAGTATGAATAAGAGAAGGCAGAGATATATGCAGTAGTTCTTCAGCAGCTGTGAAGCTGCCCTGGCATGCAGTGCCCCATAGTTGCCCAGGGCAACTATGGTGCCCTGCTTAGTGCACCCTCAGGGCAGTCTCAGGGACACACCTGGGCATACCCGACTTCTAGAACCAGGACTGGAACATGCTGGGAATTCAGGGCTGATCTGAGGCTTCAACATAGTTTTCCAGGGGAAAAACTGTGAAATATAATTAGGTCCATGGCCATAATAGACCTTAACACAGACCAATTAAATCAGAACTTCTGGGGATGGACTTCTCCAACAGTAGTTTTTGGAAGTGCTTCTAATGCACAGCCAGCGTTTCCAACTATAGGCTGTTACATTAGTATTCAAACAGATCAGTGCTGCTTCTCAAACTCTGATGTATACTTACATGTAGTAAGGGAAGTCTCATAAAATGTAGATTCTGATTCAGTAGGTCTGGGGTGGAATTTGAGATTCTGTATTTCTAATAAGCTCCCAGGTAATGCCAATACAGCTGGTCTTGGTACAACACTTTGAGAAACAAGGAACTAAATGGCAAATTTCTTGAGATAAGGCCTCATTAAGTACTAATAACTGCAGAGACTTTCAACTTTGTAAATGGCTTAAAATGGGTGTGTTCATTTGTTTTGCTCTTACTCTTACTTGAAAAAAAGCCCACTTTGTAATCTACTGCTGTTGTAACAAATTATCCCACACCTAGTGATTCAGGACAATCAACACGTATTATCTCAGCAGTTTCTGTGGGTCAGGAAGCTAGGAACAGCTTCCCTTGATGTCTCATGAGACTGTAATCAAGACATTGATTGGGGCTGCAGTCATCTGAAGGTTTGGCTGGTGCTGGAAGATCTAAGATGGTTGTTAGGAGGCCTAGGTTCCTGGCCATGAGCACCTCTCTGTAGGGTCGCTTGAGTGTTATCACAACATGTCAGCTGGCTTCCTCCAGAGCAAGCTCCCAGAGAGAACATGGTGGAAACCAAATGTCTTTTATGGTGTAGGCTTGGAAGTCATACACTGTCATTCCTGCAATAGCCTGTGTAACCTTACACAGGTTGGCCCTGTTTAATGTGGGACCAGACTATACAAGGATGACTACCAGAAGCTCATTGAGGTCACCTTGTAGGCTGGTAGCACAGGTTCAATCAAACAAGCTTTAGGACATAAACACATTTTCTCACTCAAAGATTCCTGATAAAAGATTTCACCCTTCTTAAATAGTGAATACAATGATATAATATGCCAGTATTTTAGCAGGATTCCCAAACATTATATCCCTAAGTTAACAAAGATTACTGCTTTTCAAGCGGGGCTGGGGGAGAAGAGAAAGTATTTCCAAAGCTGTTACCTAATTTTAAAAACCGTTTTGTTCCTGCTCTTTGCATTAATTTGTTCGAAGAACTTTATCTCTGACCTTCATATAAGAATTAAGATGCAATCGCCTTTCATAAGATAGTTGCTTAGTGAATATGGTATATATCAAGACCCAGCTGGCCAAAATTTGAAGATTTATTGGGGCAGAAAAAATTAGCTTCAGCATTACAATTCTAATGCCAACAAAATTTGAGGGTTCTAGGTAGGCAGGTATTAATTTGGGTTGTTACTTCGTGATTTATTAATTCTCCCCTTTCAGGGGGTTGCAGAATGTGCAGAGTAAGATATTTCAACTGGCATGTCCTTTGCTGAGATGCCCCCTTTCTTTTCTAACCAAGAAACAATACCTGGGACTTCCCCGGTGCTCCAGTGGTTAAGACTCTGTGTTTCCACTCCAAGGGACAAGGGTTCGATCCCTGGCCGGGGAACTAAGATCCCACATGCCGCACTGTACGAGGCGGCCAAAAAAAGAAAGAAAAGAAAAAACACTATCTGATTTGCTAATCTTTCATCCTTCCAGAGATGATCTATTTCTCCTTGGTGGTTGCCTACTCTGTCTGCCAGGTTGTGATTTTAGGGGCTTTATTAGGAGGGGCTGGCTCTACCTCTTTACCATCTGGAAGCCTGCCTTGACCATTGCTCCTGTTGGTTGTGAATTCTCTATATCCTTTCCTAACCCCTCTTAGTCTAACAATTATCTGAATAAAACCTGTCGTGCAGAGAACTTCAAAAATGGCTTCATCTCTATGCTACAGAGAATCCAAGAATTTCAATCCAAAATCTCTTCTCCATTTTTTTTTTTTTTGCAGGATTAGAAAGGACTCCTTTCTGCTCTTGATATATAATAATTTTAAATCACAAAGTATCTAGTGCACGTGAAAACTTTCTTGATGCTATCCAAGAAGGATCTTCTAAAAATCACTTGGGACAGAAACATTCAACCAGGCTTGAAGGAAAGGTAATTAATTGTTCTTTGTTCTCTATACTTCTCTTCAGATTTCACAGATTAGCAATACAATTTTACAATTTTATGGCTGCCTTTAGCCAAGTGGTAACTCCCTCCCCCAGCCCCCTCACTCCCCCATCTCCACCTTGATTAAGAAATACCATGACAATTTTTATTTTGCATAATTTGTTTAAATGAGATTTATTTATTCCATACTTCCTTATGGAGCTTTACCTAAGAAACTTGCCTTGAACATCTCCTGGTTTTGCTTCACGCTACCTCACTTCTCAAATGCACTGGCTAGTCTTCACTTTTGGCCAGAACCTTCTGCTTTGAGAGGCAGTTTTCCAGCTACTCCATTACTTATTACATAAAGGGTGCTTACAAACGTTTTAGACTGCACCGTGCTGAGACTTTCTGCTGTCTCATGTTTTCATTGCTTTTCACTGCGTGCCAAGCGTTTCTCCCAGAAGCAAAAGTGATGAAACAACTATTTTCAGTGAAAGGGCCCAGTGACTATGAACTTGAATTTTTGAAACTTAGCATTATTTTTTATTTCATAATCTTTAATGGTTATAAATTCTAGTGTTTTCTGTCGCACTTTAATGGAAAAGAGTATAAAGCCAGGAGGTTCAGAAAGAGACTCTCTACCCCTGCCTACCCCTAATCTGCACCCAGACTGGAAAAAGATTCAGACGAACTGTTCTCTCATTTTTTGTTTCACCTTGGGAGCTTTGCTGTCCTTTACAGCTATGATTCTTGAAGCACTTTACAAATATAATGACCTTGCAAATGTATATGAGGGAATGATTAAAACTACATTTTCAGGTTCAGAAAATTCATTAAGTCTTTCAAAAATTTCAAGTTTAATTTTTTAATGAAAATATCATGAATGGAAGAAAAATTCAGATATGCATGCTTTAAATGTATATAGCACACAAATGCTTTTTTTCTATGAGAAAACTGTGGTTTAATAGCTCTAC